ATACTAGTAATCAACCTGTGCATTTGCACAGAGAAGAATACTTTAAAAAGATAACAATATAAAAAAATAAAAATAAATCATAATTTAATTCATGAAAAAATATGTATTAAGAAAATAATTCTCAAAATTAATTTTGATAAAATAATTGCTATGGAAAAGCCGTTACGACCATTTTCTTTATGCTAATACACCCGCTCATTTTCATGAGTGGGAGTAACTTAAAATTTGAGTATAATTTTGTAACTCCCTTTATTGGTTTATGATAATAATATATGGCATTCAAGAAAGTTATTTTGTAACTTAAAAATGAAATTGAATGTTGAAAATTTTGGAGGAATAATAAAATTTAATGCATGATAATATAATTAAATGCTATGTTGCTCCTCTTTATATATATAGATATATATATATATATATATATATAGGGGCTGGTTCAAATAAAAACTAGTCTTGGTGTGAGAACCGTATTTGATGTTATTTTTAATTATGTATGATGCTATTTTTCATATTAGACGATACTTCNAAGAAAAATTCAATGAACTCATAAATGTTAGCTATTATGCTTATGCAATTAAAAAATAATAAAAACTATTTTTAGCTATACTAATTTTATTGTTAGGTAGGTCAGACAGACATACTTTTTAATGGATGTCTATTGAATTTACATATGAAACTTTAAATAATAGCGAAAACAAAAATATGATATTTCATAATATAAATATGCATTTATTTACAAAAAGGAAATGACGGATCGACTCGACTAACAGTTGGACTATCTCATGTGGGAATTTTTGTTTAAGCTAACATTTTGTAGAGATGGTAACTCCTTGCTATAATTATCATTTGAATTTAGTTATTCGCAAACAAAACTCAATTGAATTTGTGAAAGTTCGAGCTCTATTTGTCTCAATTCATTCGATGATTTGTACAAGCTAACTTTGAACCGCTAATCGAACTCGTCCATAAAATGAGTCAAGTCACGAATATAACTCATTTTATGAATTTTAAATTAAACATGAAAACTATACTTATTTACAAACAATTCGATTTTGAGTATGAGTCATAGTCGAGTTTTCATGAATTTACACAAATTGAGTAAATCAGTTTGAGTACACCCGAGACGGCTCATGGATGCAAACTCAAATGTGAAAGTAATTAGCTAGAAAACCCTTACTACTTTTAGATATTTTTTTGGAAACGCGCTTAAATCCCAATCAGAAAAAGAAATAGAAAAACACGATCTGGGGCAATTGTTCGTGATGTCATTCATATTCATCGACTGAAATTATAATTTTATATTGAATATATTGTCATGTACATTTTATCTAATTAAATCACTTTAAAAAAATTAATAAATAAATTATAATGCCGTGCCAATCTCTAATTAGGATAGAATAGTTTTACCCGTGCATTTGCACAAAAAACGATATAATAGAAGAAAAAATAATTAAAAATATAAAAGAAAATAAAAAACATAACTTAATAAATGAGAAACAAATAATTTAAAAAAGTGAATCTAAATATTATTAAACACTTCTTTCTATACAACATTCGTGATTTTCCTATCGTCAGAATCCCCATCACAACAAATCATTATCGTTAAACTTCTTCGACCCGTAACTCTGTGATTTGATTTTTCAAATTGATGTATCTTTGTAATATAAAAAAAAATATTTTTTTATTATTGTATGACTCCAATAGAATATAGAGATATTTGTATTCATTCTTAATTAGTTGTGAAATATTTATTTATATAATACCAAAAATATATAGTATCAAAATAAAACAAAAATATTTTGTATTTTGTGACATAAAAAGACGTTACAGAAATGAGCACCATCCACAATAGGACTTGTCAAAATAAATTTTGTAACTGAAAGTTAAATATTATTATTAAATGGTGAACATATTTTTATTAAATGAACTCATATTATTATTAATTGTTGGCTGAATAAAATTTATTGAAGTTTTTCAGTAATTATATATATATATATATATATATATATATATATTTTAGTCCACTTTTTGTTTAAGAACTTTTCCAATATTCAACAAAGAGTCTATTTTTTCAAACGTACCGAATGTGTAAACATAGATCTAAGATAATTTTAAGGTTTCTATTTTTAATTAAGAAATAGATAGATGTATATATAGGATCTTATATCTTATTCATTTTAATTATAATCATCTGAACACAATTAATAGGTGTGTCATTTTTATCATATTTCTGCCAACTACTCGAAATTTCAACTTATAAATAGAAAAAAGTAATTCATTACACAATTTTAAATAATATAATATCATTATCCATCAATACAACAAGGCGACATCGTTCTTCTCCCTTGCCAATAACATAGGCACACATGTAAAAGAAATTAAAATCGGCCTATTTCATTATGTTAAACCCAATACAAAATACAATATCAATATTACATATATATATAAAAAAAAATGAAAAGCAACGAAAAAAAAAAGAAAGAAAAAAGAAAAGAACACTCTCCGTATTCTTCAATCACTATAAGAGTAGCAACTCTAACAAAATCGCACTTTACCAGAAAAATGCTTAGCTGCAGCAACCATGGCTGCCTCTGGTGACGAAAAGCGCTTATTACACAATTTATCACTACTTTCTCTCGCAGACTTCACATTTTCACCTTCATAATTAAGGGCACAAAAGCACAAATTCAGTATAGATTTCAAGAATGAAGTGCCCCAACTCATGGTTCTTTAGAGCTGCTTAACAATCGAGAACGTGTATTAATATGTATGTTCGTCTGAGTCGAAATATCGACGAGCACAGAAAAAGTCGTAAAATCGTATGTTGTTGTTTGATTGAGTTGTGTAATAAAAAAAATATGATGTTTGTGATTTTTATAGGTACAGATTCCTTGGTGAACACGAGCACGCGTTCTGTTTGAGAGCAAAAGGTTGTGTATCATTTGTCCAGATATGAAACTGCCTGGAAATTAAAATAAGGTGGACTGATTTGACCAAATGTTGTTCAGGTAGTGGTTTTCATGGCCCTTGGGGCAAGTAAATGAATCTTGACTTGCTTTATTATTAATATGATCTTCTCATGAAGATATAAATTTTCTTTTTCTTTTTTTCTTTGTGAACAATGGATCCATAGACAGAAACACATATTTACATCCTAGTTGAAACTTGGAATAACTATACTTAAGTGTAGCCTAGAACCAACCAAAACACATAACACAACGAACTAAAAATTACATACAGGTTCCCACAAGTAGAGAAAAGGAAAAACTCCTCCCACAACACCTGTGACCGAGAGCAGTAACAGTAGTAGGCTATGTTTAGTAGTCAAATAAGCTAGCTTATATGTAATTTGGTTAGCTTATAAGCTTCCTGTATTCAAATAAGTCTCGTTTGGTAGGACGAACTTTTTTAAAAAGCTCGATCTTATTTTATTAATTAATAAGCTACTTTAGGTAGCATTTTAAATAAGCTAGTTAAAATTTTTATTTCAGCTAGCTTATCAGCTAATTTTACTAATTGCGTTATGGTTGGTAGACAAATAAGTTAGCTTATAAGCTTCATGTATTAAAATAAGATTTGTTTGGTAGGACGAGCTTTTACAAAAAGCTCGAGCTTATTTCATAAACTACTTTGGGTAGCTTTTCAAATAAGCTAGTTGAAATTTTTATTTCAACTAGGTTATCAGCTAATTTTACTGAACACTTTTATCATATAAACTAGCTTTTCAACTATAAGTCATAAATTATAAGCTGTAAGCTCGAAAATTAATTATAAGCTATAAACTAGCTAATCAGCAATCAGCTAGTTTTACCAAACATAGCCTAAACGCTTTTATTATATAAGTTAGCTTTTCAGCTATAAGTCATAAGTTATAAGCTATAAGTTTGACAATTACATATAAGATATAAGCTAGGTGTAGGAGAGGTCTAGTTTATTTGTATGGAGTTTTCTCCTCCTTTATGAAGTTTCGTTTTGGTTTTGCAGTTGCCTCCTTGATGTAGTTGTACCTGGAATTAGAGCTGCAAACGAGTCGAGGCGAGTCGAGCATTGACCTTATAGAGCAGGATTGATATTTTTTTTTGAACTGCTTGAGCTCGATTTTTTAGGCTCGAGCTCAACTCGATAAGAAAATACGAACTCGACTCGAATCAAAATGCTCGAGCTCGACTCGGATTCGGTTCGAAAATTTTCAAACAATGCATTAAAAATTTAAAAGACAAACAAAATGAGCCAATGAACTGAGTAGACTGCCACGTTTTGTACCAATCCAAACTTTCATTTTGATATTTGCACTTTTTTGTTTAATTCCTAATCCACAAATTCTTGTGTGGTTGGGAAGCAAATCAACTCATCATGCTATGTTAATAAAAATATATATTTGTGCTATAAGATATCAAACTTTAATTTATATTACTTTTTAAAATATAAAATTTCAGTTCAAAAATCTACACATCTATTATTATTAAAAAAGAGTATGTTGCACTATCAACCTTACCTTACTTTCACTGAAGATACTTTGACAAATCTTCCCAGAAGCTCAATCTACCATAAAGCAACATAATTTATGTAAAATACATTCACCATTGACAACTAAAATGATTGCCAAGACAACTCCAAGACTGGATTTTGCAACCCTATATCACACCATTTAACAAATGCAGAAATAGAAAATAACTTTACTGAAAACATAACATAAACCATTCCAAGTCCACCAAAACAAACAAAAGTCCAGATAACCATAGATCCAGGTATTTACAACATAGATGACTCCTTCCTCAGGAACACTGTTCAACATATTTATTTATCTAACACTGTCGATCCATCGATGTTCTATAAAACAAAATTAAATTAAAATCCGNAAAAAAGATCAGCCAACCTAACTCAGACATTCCATATCTGAGTTAGCCTTCAAAGAATATTTACAAAAATCACTACGCTTCCCCATTGCTTCCAAATCTAAAGCTCTACTCAAAACAAACCTGCAAATCTTACCTCAAACATTCTCAAAACTTGCAAGAAGTCCCAAGCCTCTGCCTCTGCTTCTGACCGAAGCTCACAAACTTCCGCTTCTCAAAAACCGGACCAAGCAGCTCTTGAAACTTCTCCATAAAAAGAGTCCACTCATCTTCACTCATATCAGCCAGCTTCACAAAACTCACACTTGCCGGAAGCTGTTCATTTGCGCTCGTATGGCCAGATGATGAATTAGCAAGATACCCGTTAGTCATCTTCGCCACAGAATACAACTTTCCCGATTTTTGAGTCCTCTCGACTAAGCTAGTATTTTTTAAAGACACAGAAAGCTTCGAAATTGCAACTCGACTCTTAACTACGGTTCGACTGCTAGTCAGCACTCTTTCCTCATCTTCTACTTCTTCACTATCCTCCTTCTCCTCCTCCTCCTCAACCGTCTCCTCTAGTCGAGAAAGTGGAGTAAAACGCCCATTCACACTCCCGAACCCAAACTGGAAGGGCATTGACGTAAAAGACTCATCGGTGACCATTTTCGGTGCCAACTCATCATACCCATTATTATTATCCTCCTCACAACAGTCTATCTCAAAATGAAAATTGTCATCATCAAAATCAGCTCCAACCTTGTTAGTAGAATATAAAATCTCCTCAGCAGCAAGCCTTCGAGCCTCGAGGCATATAACTTCAAGTTCGCTCGGTTCTTCCTCCCCACTTTTAAACTCCCGACTCATCATTTCCCCAATCTCAGCAAGACAAAGCCCGTTAGCTGCAGCTTCTTTTAAAAAAACAGTGCAGAGGAACAATACACGCAGACAAGCGTCTCTAATCATGGGAAGCTCGCGTTTTAGCATATCCGAGTCGCGAGCAGGGTCGAGATTTTGTATGTACTCAAGCTCGTCTTCCGAGAACGGGATCGAAGCCTGAGGCCAATGTATCCACTCGAAATAAGGATCTTCTAAAGTCTCGGGCAGGCAGAGCCCGTGATCGATCGGTATAAGCTCGAATTGACCAAATTGCCCTTCTTCATTAACCTTCCTCACCAAAAGATTCCCTGCATGCCTATCCGTGTTAAGAATCCTTATATCAAGAATCCCGATTCGGTGCACGTCCGAAACGGGAAAACACGAGGTCCCATAATCGCTCGCGTCGAAATCGTGCGGGATGAACTGCTGAAAAGACGCAATCTTGCTAAAGACTCGATTTTTTTTGGAATTCTTCCCGTTGTTCAAGCCGTCATTCACGTTGAATATCGGATGAGTGATCTTGACGAGGGCAGTTGGCGGGACGTTCGCGAAATGGTCGTAATCGAGAAGATAAGCAGCCACCTCACGAAAACCGGTCTCACCGACCCTAACCGAACGTTTCAAACCGGGCTGCCCGAGGGCTTTTCCGACAAAGCCCTTTGGATTGTTCGGAGCAAAGGGCTCCTCGTCAGTGGGCTTCACAATGGCCACGTTTTCACCTCTCAGATTCTTGAAATAGTACGCGCCCCCGAGCCCACTGTGTATAGGGACTGGATCGACACCGTTTTTAACCGCTTTAACAATCTTTTTCACAATCTGTTTGGTTTTGGCAAAACGGGCCGAATGGCCCAATATCTCGATAAGCCCGTCTTGCTCGTGATGGGCTTCCGGGCCCATAGGGGAAAGGCAAGGGGTTGATGAGCTACGGTGGATAAGGTTTCGGGTGAGGAGGAGAGGCGAATCTTTTCGAACGGCACTTAGGTCGTTTTTGAGGATCATATCGCCGAAAGTTAAGGAACTTTCTTCGATTGGGAAATTGAGTGCCAGCTGTAATCTTCTTTTTACGGTGTGAGCATTGTCACTTCTGTCGAGGTCCATGCCCAAGACACAACCAGTCTCGGTTTGCACAAAAACTCGCCTTCTTCCGGTTTGCTTCCAGTTTTCGAGAGGGCTCTTGAAAACTGCCACAGCCATCTCAGTCTGAACGGGGCTGCGGTTTGGAGACATGAAAGAGAGAGAGAGAGAAAGAGAAGATAGTAGAAGGAGAGAGATTCTTTCTCGGCTTAAACCAAACTCGGAAACTAATCGTGATTTGAACCAGATATTTTATCTGATCAAATAAGAATCATCAAATGGCAATACCGACTGAAGCAGAGCATCCTTTTTTCTTTTTCTTTTTTTTTCTCCAAAATGTCTAGAGAGAGAATGGAGATTTACGAGATTACGACATCCACAGAGCCATTTCGGATCAAGCTTTAGGCTGAATTCTGCTGCATGAGAAAGGATCAATTTGAAATAAGAAGGTTTATAAGAGCAGTTCTTCATTTTCGAGACGCGGAAAGAGTAGATTTGTTCAGAAATGGAGTAAGATTTCAATATTACAAACATGGCGTGTTCTCCCCACTCCCAACAATTAACAAAAAAAAGTACAAAGATAAATAGAGTCAAATACATTAATCACCACCAACAAAGACGTTCCTTGTATACACTATACAAGGCACTTTAAAGTAATGACACCGAGTAAAACTGTGAACAAGCAAGCAGCAAGAATTTACTATTTCAGCTAAAAAAAAAAGACAAAATCATCGAGAAAAACATAAATCGGCTAAAAAAGCACACAACACACTCGCGTTTCACATCTCTAATACAACAAAATCATCAATACGGTTATCATCCACTGTTCTCACTAATGAATGCTAAAACATCAGGTCAAACGGGAGCTGCTAAAAACAAAAACAATCATCGATTGCATAAAAT